TGACTGCGCTGTTTCGCGCCGCTCCGTATCGGGGCCTTGCAACTCCGGCCGCGGGCGGGCGGCCTGCGCAGGCCCCACCGTGGAGCTGCCGCATGCTTCCTGCAGGCGGAGGCTGGGTGCTCGGCGTGGGGTTTGGCTGACGGGGTGGCTGGGTGCACGGCTCCCTCTTCTTTGTAAGGGAGCATGAAGAGAGCGCAGCTGGCTGGTTCGCCAGGAGCATTTAATCTCTCTTAGTTTCTTTCAGTGTCTTCTTTTCGGTTTCTCCTTTGGCTTAGTTCTTTAGCTTGCCTTTTTTCTGTATTTTTTTAATGATTGGATGCTTGCAGGTGAACGGGAAGCTTTTGCTTATAGTTGTAAGATGTTGACACGATCAGAGCAATAATATCTGTCTTCTCTTTAGCATTACTGCTGGAGGTGTAATGGATGTTAACACTGCCCTGCAAGAAGTGCTGAAGACCGCACTTATCCACGATGGCCTAGCTCGTGGTATTCGTGAAGCAGCCAAAGCCTTGGACAAGTAAGTGGTGTTCCTGTTTTGTCTATGGTGAATAGCTAAACTGGGTGAGGTATGTTGTGATGAGGTATGTTGGAACACATGCAGTGCTCACTTTATCCAGGAGTTTAGTTGAAAGGTTTTGCAAGAACATGTTTTTCTGCCATGCAGTTTTGTCATTTGCTATCTCTGTTTTGGGTCTTTAATTGTGATCTTAAAATACAGATGCTAAACTCAGTGGCTCACGAATAACAGCATCTAGTGTATTAGATTCTGTCTTTTTGTGACCCCAGTGCCATCGAGTTTTCATGTGGATTGGTTTTGTGAAGAAAATGGAATGGCGCTTGCGGTATGTAGCTGTGGAAATCTGGGGTTCAAGAACCTTGTGTTTTAAAAAATCATAAACTCTTCTCAAAACTTTCTAAGAATTTTAATTGGGAGTGTCAATATGTATGTCAGACTTAACCTGGGGGAGTTGGTTTAGTTTTGATGAAAAACTGAATATCATAGCTTGCCTTTACTTTTGTGCTAGCTTCATTTTTTGTCTTGCAGCTGTAAATAATTGCTTTGGTACAATAGCAAAACAATATTAAACTTGTCATATATGTGCTAACCATGGTGATTAGTTATGGCTTCTTGGTAGGGTGAAGTATTATATTTATGTGTATATATCCGCATACATACACACCTGTGTGTGTCTATATATATGCACATACTTTTAAGAATAGACAGTGCTTAAGCGTAATGCTACAGGGTTTGGGTGATGACTTAACAGTTTGTCGGATACCCCTTCACTCTTATGAGTGAGAACAGCAGTCTGACAAACCTGTATGCGAAGCGTACCAAATAGTGGAAGAGAAATACAATGTGGGTGACTGACAATTAGGTTGTAAGAGTTCTTTTGAGTTCAGCTACAACTTCATATGCTGTGTGTTAAGAGGATGATGTATGTACAAGGTTTGTATACATTTGTGTGTGATGGTTCTTGCTTGGAAATGTTTCTGAAACATGCTGGTGAAACTTGTGATGAAGAAGGCCATAGAGAAAACTGATTTTGTTTGCAGTGGTCACATTACGTTAGGTTAAGCATAGAAGACCTATACAGCTCTCTCTGTTGTTAGGTATCCCTTTGGTATTCTTAACATTGTACCACTGTATACAAAGAGCCTAATTAGAATTGGGGCCCTGTCATAACAGCTTCTTTGAACGTAAGTAGAAAAGGTTGTTCTGAAGAGCTTGTAACAACTTGACAGGGAAATTCAAGCTTTTAATAATTACAATTCTTAAGTTAAATTATTGTAATCTGAGGTAAACAAGAAGCAGCTTATAACTTGGTTGCTTTCTAACAGTGATGTCCGTTCTTTATGGGACCTGGCGTTTATCCAGTCATTACCTTTTTCCAAGGGCTGAGAATTTATTTAGCGGGATTTTTAGAAGCTTCCAAAACTAGAATAGAATCTGGTAATAAAGCTAATAATGTGTGAGTAGGCTGTTACATATATGAAGAACATAAAAAGTAATAGATAGTATCAAAAGTATATTTAGTATTTCAAAAGCATATGGTGTCTCAAAACCAAAAATTAAACTTGGGAAGTGGTTGTCTAGAAATGCATGTGCTGAATTTTGGTCTTCGTGGTTTTGATTATTAAAGAAAGTTTAAGCAGCATCTGAAGTTACATTTTTCAGTTTTCGGTTTCTTTAGACGCCAAGCCCATCTTTGTGTTCTGGCTTCAAATTGTGATGAACCCACGTACGTAAAGTTAGTTGAAGCACTTTGTGCAGAACATCAGATCAACTTAATAAAGGTGAGTGTCAGAACTTCAGACATAAGTTTGGAACAGTTATTCTACTTGCAATATAAGCTGCTTGTTTCAGCATATAGAGAGCTGAACCTTTGAAACGCTATGCTGTAATTCTGTATATGGCTTATCTAAGCAAAATTTCTCTTAGCAGTAGAGTTTGGTTTAGTTCTATGTGATTGTCCTATAAGCAGTACAGAAACTGTGGATGTAAATGGCAAAGGATGTGTACTGGGTGTTTTACAAAGTTGAAATGAATTTTTGTGTCCTGTATAATAAGAAATAGAATTAATGCTGCAAGTGGTCGTGGAGCATGGGAGGATACTTAACATGACTTTTTCTTCAAATTAAAATACTTACGAGCTGTACAATGATGATACTTTGGCTCCCTCTACTGATACTTGTGAGGAAAGAGCCATCCGTTACCCAATACTTCTGAGAGTACAGCGGCTTTTTTGCTGAACCCGGTTATGTTAGAAATGACTAGCTCTAATGTGATGCAATGTTTTACACAGGTTGATGACAACAAGAAACTGGGTGAATGGGTAGGTCTCTGCAAGATTGACAGAGAAGGAAAACCTCGCAAAGTAGTGGGCTGCAGTTGTGTGGTTGTCAAAGTAAGATTATGCTAATTCTGGCTTTTTTCTTGACTTCTGAAAATAAGCAGTAAAGACAAGGATGCTTAGATAAGGGACTATTAAATAGAGCTCTTAGATTATTTTTTTAAAACAGTTGCTTTCCATTGTTGGTAGTGGAAGTAAACTGCTTCCCTGTTCTATATTCTCTTTCATGTTTATTTAAAATGTCATATAAATTTTGTGAATTAATGGTTGTATCCTTAAAGTATCTATGCCCACTGACCAGTAAGCATTAAAGGAAAGGCCTTTTAACTAGAAGAGATGAAGTTTTGCTGAAGAAAAAAATGCCAGTTAAATGCGTCTGCTCAACTTGAAAATGTTCCGCAGAGCATATTTTAAAATAAAGCTGGTAAAATAAAGCCACAGTACGAGCCTTGAAGACTTTGTTGTCTTTGAGGTCCCAAGAGATGGCTACATCTTCACAATAAAGACTAATGCCTTCTGCATGTGTTTTCATACTTTTGTTACTGTGTCACGTACTTTACTTGGTTTTCTTTAAGCAGAAATGAAGAATTTGTTTGAATCCATACCACTGGGTGTTACATTTTAACAAAATTGCATAGTCCTTTATTAGAATAGTCATTTATTAGAGAACAATGGGAAAGCAGCTGGCAAATTCCTTGAGGTTACTTGTATGGAATTTTGGGAATATTTGGGAATGCCTTGAGAAAAAGTGTCAGAATCTCAGGTGTCCTTTTAAAAACAGGTTATAAAATCTTGAATGGGTCTGTATGTTATTAATGAGTTATCTTGTGTTACAGGACTACGGCAAGGAATCTCAGGCCAAAGATGTCATCGAAGAGTACTTCAAGTGCAAGAAATGAACGGAAAATAAATTTTGAACTTGACTAGTGTGTGTGTGATTAATGGGTGGGTATTTGTGGAATAGTTCTTCGAGTTGCAAAGGATAACATCAGGAGAAGAAAGGACTTTGCAGGTCTTGGTGTAGTTTATTATTATGTTAACCCTGTCAGCTTGCTAAAAAGATAATGGTAATCCCTGCCATTCCTATTCTAGGCTGCTTCTGTTTCCTGTTCCTACCCTAGAGAGTAGCAACTTATGGAACTTCACGCAGCTTCTTAGTTGCAAAAATGCTGACAGTGATTACTACCTTTGCTTGGCAGTGCTTAGGCCCGTGCTTCCGCAGGGAGTCTGAGTAACTGGTTAGGGAAAGTCCGAAGTACTGCTTGCATCTGTGATGAAAATTTGGCTCCCTCTGCTGAAGCAAATGAGGAGAACGGCCTTAACCGTTACCCAAATCTTCTGAGATGTTGCAAGAATTTTTTTAAATGCTATCTTAATTTATTCAGGGAACTTAGTTGACACAAGGTGTGTTTTGTTGGGTTTCTTCCCTCCTCACTCAGTTCTGAAGCAGATTATGGGTAGAATTAGCTGCTTGTAAGAAGCATTGTCATGTACTTCTAGATCTGATTCTGTAGGAGTTCTCGGTAGTCAAGGTAGCCAAGTAGTTGAGATCTCGCTGCTCAAACAAGACAGTGCTGAACTCTGACTTGCCCAGGGGCTTGGATTCCCTAGTAGTTGGATGATGTACAGAACTTGTGTTTTTGTCAATTTTTTGCTTTTTTGACAATAAAGCGAGATTGGGACTGGAATTCAAGACTACTTTTCTCTCTCCTGCAAGTTGTTTTGTATGTCTTACATTTTCTGTGGAGCAGTTCTAAGTGGAGTCATAAGGAATTGCTCCATTATATTGATCAGGAGGACATGAATGTGAGCATGTGGGCCTGAGTACCTGTAGGCTGAGGAGACAGGAATGCATGTATCTGTTTACTTCTCAGGCTCTTGAGTTTGAATTTTCATTATAGTTTGTAACCCCTTTTTTGACATCCACAGTCATTCAAGTAGTGTAGAGGCAGGCATCTCCAGATGCTGGGTTCAGGTGTGCTTTCTTGCAGCTCTCATTAAAGCTCTTGAAGTGTCTTTTGGTTTTTGCCCTATCACAGCTTTCTAGTAGCTAGATCTGGGTGATGAGGATTTTTGAGAGGTTCCTGTAGTAGCCTTTTCAGGTGTACTTAATGATGGAGTCACCTGTTCCAAGTCTGGTTAAAACCAAGAAATGTGTATTTGTGCTGAACTTACATATGTTCAGTCTTGTCTGTGAATTTTCTCAGTAAAGGAGTTAAACAGTAGCTTTTAAAATTTTAGTTAATGTCAAGCTAGTATTACAAATAGAGAGAAGCTCTTAACACGAATGTATGTATGTTACCATTTTCCATTTGGATGTTTTTGAATATAGTTGAAATTACAGAAATTCACTCCTATAGATAGGAGCTTTAGTTGTGGATCTTCATTAAATTACTGGAAGTTTCTAAACACTGAGAATAGAAATAATTTTTAAGAATAATCCTTTTTAAATGGAGTTGAAAGACACGTAACTGTTGAAAAACTTTGTCAGTTGAGGTTGGCTAATAATGCTGAGTATCTGACTCTTGTATACAGAAGCACACCAAAGCATGCTTCATCTTTTGTCCTGTCTTAAGCTGCATCTTCCAAGAGTTGTGGATAAAATACACTTAACGCTATTTGTTCCTTGTATTTTTATAATGTTTGCAGCTACATTGTAGAGAAGGAATTGTCTGAAATGGTGGCAGTGTTGGCAGTCTTAATAGGATTTATGGTTTGCTTTTCCTTGGCTGGCTGTTTTATCAGAGTTCAATTCACAAAGGGAGTTGGGATCCAAAACTGGAGCTCAGTACCTGGATTCCATGGCCTGTATGTTGCTGAGGTTGAAAATTGTTTCTTAACTGAATATGGTTCTGTACCAGAACACTTTTTACCTGCTATGAGTAGTAAAGTCATCTTAATTCCTTAAATCTCTGGACGTGGGGTAACAAACGTGCAATCCATTAAGCTCCTCCAGGGTAGTGGGTGAAGATTTTTAAAAAAGATGAAATCCATAGACTTATAGTCTCAAATTTGAGGAAGTCTTTGCTAAGCCTGTACAAGCAAACTGCGCTTTTCCAGATGTTTGGCTTTTTGGCTAAAATACAGCTTTTCATTTTGTTTTTTTAACACAAAATGACCCAGGAGAATGGAGAAGAGCATGGTCCCTAGATACACTTCACTGACTACAAAGGGAGTTTAGGCAAGTAAATCATGTATAGATACTTGCTTTCTGGATGTATATGATTATGTGAAGTTAACCTGCTTAAGATTTTAGGGCTGTTTGATAAAATTTTGGTTGCTTTAGCATGGGCAAATAATAGATCTTAGATTTTTTTTTTTAACTGGATTTGCCCTTCTAAGTGGAATTTAATTTAGCTTGAGGTCAACTCAACATGGAAAATTTCTTTGGGTACAACTTAGTGTCTCATAAATCTACTAATGGTACCTTGTGAGGTGAAGCAACACAATAGCAACACATACCAATGTTTCAGAGGGGGCTACTTTCTAATTTGCTATTGGAGGGAGAAAATAGGGAGGGTATCAGTGGAAGAAGGAAGAAAGGTTTGTGTCCAGGTGAATTGTAAATCTAAGATGATCTTGAAGTGAAGGAAAAGGAACTATCAGTGAAAAGGATGAGAAGACAAAGTTGATAATGTATTGCTTTAATAAAATTCTGAAGAAGTTGTCTGGCTATTACTACTTGACCTGCACAGAGGATGTGGAAGGCCGTTCACCTTGTGTTGTGTATTTAATATCTGAAGTTGTTCCCCTTTACACTCCCCTCAATATTTATGAAGAAAGCTGATTCAAAGTAATATGCTGCATTGCAGCATCATCACTGGATTTCCTGTCCCAACTATGACACTGGAGAAATAGGATATGCTGGGTAAAATAAAAAATGTTCTGTGAGCATTCACAACCTATAAGAAGGTTGTAGTAAGATTACATTCATTTGGTTAGGCTAGAACAGTACAACAGCACCGGTTTCAGATTTGCACTAAAGGTAGGTAAGATGTCTGTTTTCACGGATTTGGAGTTGGCATACTGCTTTTTACTTCTGACAGGAGCAGTGAAATTCCTTATAACAAGTTGTTTTTTAGTTTTGGTGGGGTTTTTTTTAAAGCCATATATGGGGAAGATGCACACTGAATCTATAGTTTTATAAGACTTAAGAATTGTTAACACATTGCAAATTTATGTTACTTGTCTTAATTGTAAATAGATTGTAAATAGATCCTTGAGTTTTACATATTTTAAACCTGCAAGCAATTTGAGAAGAGTCCAGCACACCCCAACTATTCAACTTCACAGAATTTTCTACTTCATTTAACACTTTTTAACTGTTTATTTTCAATGTGAGGAAAAATTACATTATCTTCATTATCAAAAGAGTTTGTGTTTCATTTATACCACAGGATATTGGAATTGCGACTTCAGCAGTAGCCGAGTTATGCATTTCCTCTTAACCACTATCAAGTAGGATCAGTTAACTCTTGGGAAAAGGGGTTCAAGTAAGGAGAGCTGTAGTCCATGAGCAAGTTTGCTAGGCAGCCTTTCTTTTGCAACAATGGAATGATACCTCAATATAACTTCAGGGCTGTGATTTTTTTTAAATAAGTCACTTGATCATTTTACATGGCAATGACTATTAATACTAGGGAATGACAGCTCTCTTTTCATGCCAATGCTTTTTCATTGGAACAGAACCAACACTTCCTAAATATTTTTGCCAGAAGGAATTGGGTTGAGATCTTAATTTTCTGATCAAAATGCTTAGGTATCAAGTTACGGTTTTTCCTGTAATGTTGTTTCCTGGACATGACCTTGGAGCTTATGCAGGGTCAGCGTTGGAGAACTGATTAAGACTCAGTTTACTTTATACTTATTACAGTTTTTGTTATACTTAAGACTAACCGTAGTGTTTGATTTATCTTCAAAAATTTCCTGAGAAGTAAATTCTACCCAAACTTTCTGGTTCACCTTCATCTTTTGTAAAAGTTAATTTTTTTATTCAAATTGGCTGAGGAAGACAAGTGATTGCTAGTCTGTCTTCATACTGGAAGACTTAGCATATGCTTCTCTTGAGGCCTCTGCTTGTAGACAAATGACATGGTTTCTTCACACTTTCTTGATAGATGGTATTTTTGTTTTGCCATAGAAGATACATTGATATTGATGCATCCTGCAGGATTTCAGATGATGTTTCAGAGGAGTAGACTTTAGATTACTTCTTAAATTACAGCCATCTGTCTTAAATTACAGTCGTCATTCTAAAGGTACCTGTTACCTGTCCTCTGAAAGGATTAGACAGTGGTTAGACAGTGTTAAACATGAGACTGGGAATTAAGGACTTGGGAGTTAGAGTTCCAGGACTAACCCTGACTTTTCCTCTGTTGCTGATCACACTTAATGTCCCTTGCAGGTTTTCCTTGTTGTGAAACAGGGATAATGCAGAATGGTTTGCTCAACGATGCATGTTTTGTGGCTTTTGGTTGGCAGAAGAAGCAGAATGAATTTCTTTTTCTGGACTAAAATACCAATTTTTAGTGGTTTTGCAGGGATTGGTAGTCCTTTCCAAGCCTAAATTCTTACGTTTCCATGTAAAGTAGAAAGCTAACAAAGCGCTTTGAAGAAATGCTGGCAAGTCATTGTGAAGGTGCTAAGTACAGACTTCTAAGACAGTATTGGAAGAACATCGTATGTGAGATTCAAAATAAATATCTTGAACAGTTAAGCTCATTTGTTTTGGAACCACTTGTGTGTCATCCTGGCCAGTACTGCTTTTCTGCGTCATGTGCCTTTTGCCTTAGATAGTAAATGCTTGAGCATCTGGATGACACCACCATGTATTTGCACAACTCCTACCTTGATGGAGTTGTGGCCCTGACTGTGGCTCCCACAGGGGAGCTGGTTACACCTGCCCTCCACGCTTTCCCATGGCGGTGCCT